TGTCTCCCTCTTCCTCTACTCTTCTCCCCAGTATGCTGTCTCTCTCAAATAAATAAATGAATAAATCTTTTTAAAAAAATATGCCAGAGCAGGAATCGTAGGTGATAGGCAGTCTTCTCATATGCATCACCTCTAGCATTTTCAGAAAAGGAAGGGATAAATGATGTAGATATTTTTTTAGCCAATTACCCCATGTAGTTTTGTTGGCAATAATTCCTTCTGAGTCAAAATTGTGAATCTTTAGAAATAAAATCAACTGTCTCTAAGTGGTTGGATTGGTTCTGTGTCATTGAAAGGAACATAACTAGTAAAGAAAATTGGAATATTTCTTGGCTCAAATTTTCTCATTTTTTATAGGCATCATTCTGCAAAGCTTGGTTATGAATCTCTGTTACAAAACATGAAGATTTTGCTTAAAATGGTAGAAAGAAGAGAGCCAGCCAGCCAATCATTCTCTTCACTGTAGCCTCACTTTCCAGCTCCTGCTCACAGATACTTCCCAGGGATTCTCCGTAGACTTCAAAAGGACTGAGACAGAGTAATCTACTGAACTGTGAATACTTTAAAGATTCAAATTTGTGTTCTACATACTTCAGCTTCTTAGTACAGTACTTTGTACCTAATAAATTGTGAGAACTCAAATTCATTGTTTCAACATTTAACAGATTTTTAAGTGCCTTTTGACATGAGAAAGGATATTTTTATATAATAAAAATGCACTATAATTTTATAGTTAGTGAAATTCTCTCAGTTTTACAAACCTCTGTAAATCCTTTCCTCCACAAAAACAGTGAGAAAACTATCAAAAAAATGTGACAACCAACTTTTTCAGAACTCTGGCAAATAATCAGAGATTTGCAGTAATACATGAAGTAATTAAATCAAGAAAGACAGCTGAATATTCATGAAGAACAATGGAATTTGTGGCTGTAACTGTCCTATTCTTGTCCTCCTTCCTTAGTGGCATGGTAGCATTGTAAATCAATGGCTTCCAATTACAGGAAAAATCAATAACCTGGAAGTTATTGGAGTGGGCAGAAAGGAGTTTGAATTCCTTTAAAGCCTCATTGTTGGAGGTCATTATTTGACCTCTCTGGAGGTTTTCTGGAAGATTCCACTTGCAAGACTGCTTCAGACCTAACTTGGAGCTTACTCAGTATGAAAAGTCTTTTTCCTGGCAATGTTTGTCAAAAACACTTAGAAACAATGTTTTAACTTCCTGGGTGCCTGATGCAGTGAGTAACAGTGGGGACAAGGAGCAGACTAATCAAAAAGCTTTAAAGGAAAATCAATGGAATGGGTATGTCCATAGAGGTTTGGAAAAGCGCACATATTTCTGGGTATCTAGAAGAGTGCACATATGTATGGGGCTATAAGCATGCCCAGAATTATAGGCCTAGTTGCATCCTTTCAAAATTCATATGTTGAAATCCTAACTCCCAATACCTAAGAAAGTGACTTTCTTCGGAGATAATTAATATAAAATGAGGTCATACGGGCTGGTTCTAATCTATGACTGGAAGAGGAGATCAGGACACAGACAGGTGGAGAGAAAGAAACAGAGAGGAAATGACCATCGGCAAGCCATAGGGGAGGCCGTTAGAGGAGATTAGCTGTGCCAACAACTTGATCTTGGACCTCTAGAATTGTGAGAAAATTAATTTCTGTTGTTTAAGCCACTTAATCCATGATACTGTTAAGACAGCCCTACCAAACTAACAGAGTTGTGTGCATGCTCGGGAAAGACCTGAAAGGATCTTAAGCTCTGAACACTGGCTGGCCTTGAAGCCCTGTGCAAATGGCAAATAAAGGCAAAGGCAGAGTTATCAATTGTCTGACTCAGTATTGAAGGTGTGACCTCATTAACACAGAGCCTCTAGAAAATTCTGGGAGATTTATTGGTTTTAGAAATTTAAGAAAATCCCTGTCCAATTATTAGGTGATTTCTAAGTCACCTAGACAGATAGTTCCATGGTCATACACAATAAAGAATGTAGACTTTACAGAATTAGCTCAGAAAAGCCAATTAAAAAAACAACAACCACCACCACCACAAACCTTAGGAAGGAGGGAGAATATGATTTACAGAATTGACATACTGTATTATATAAAATGTCCCATTTCCAGTAAAAATATTATAAGACATTCAAAGGATAAAAGGTCTGATTCATACACAGGGAAAAAGGACAATCAATAGAAACCTCCCTGAGAAAGCAAAGATAGCGGAATCACAGGACAAAGACTTAAGCCAGTAATATTTTTTTAAGATTTTATTCATTTATTTTAGAGATAGAGAGAGAGCTAAGGAAGGAGCAGAGGGAAAGAGACAAGCAGATTCTATGCTGAGCATGTAGCCGAACACAGGGCTCAATCCCATGATCCTGAGATCATGACCTGAGCCAAAATCAAGAATCAGATTCTTAGCTCACAGAGTCACCCAGGTGCCCCAAACTTTAATCTAGTTATTTTATTTCATTTTTTAAAAAGATTCATTTATTTCTTTGAGAGAGCATGAACAGGGGTAAGGGAAAGAGGGAGAAGGACAAGCAGACCTCCCACAGAGCCCGTCATGGGGCTCGATCCTAGGAGCTTGGGATCATGACCTGAGCAAATGCTTAACTGAGTGAGTCACCTAGGTGCTCCTAATTTAAATACATTAAAAACAAAACAAAACAAAAAACAAACTAAAGGAATCCTTGTCCAAAGAATAAAAAGGAAGTGTGGCAATAATATCTCCCCAAATACAAAATACAAATAAAGAGATAGAAATTTTAAAAAAAGAACAAAAGAGCAGTTCTGGAGTTGAAAAGTGGAATCACTCAATGAAAAATGCACTGGAAGGCCAGTGCTAGTTTCCTGTGACTACTACAACAATTTACCACAAACAACAGTGATTTATTCTGCCACAGTTCCAGAGGACAGAAGTCTGATGTCAGTTCACTGGGCCCCAAACAAGGTGTGAGTAAGACCACACACCCTCCAGAGGCTCTAGGGGAGAATTCCCTTTCCTGCCTCCCCTGACTGCTGGTGTTCATTGGCTGTGCACATCCCTCTAATCTCTGCTTCTCTGGTCACAGTGCCTTCCCCCTCTGTCTGTAGTCAAATAGACCTCTCCCTCTCTCTTGTAAGGATACATGTCACTGCATGTAGGGCAGACTTGGATAATCTGGAATAATCACCCTCATGCAGTGCAAAATGTGAGCGATTATCAGTTTAGCATACATAATAATTCTATTGTTTTTTAAGAGATGAAGGGCAGGGTGTTACTGGGTCAGATCCAGGTAAGTTGGTTTATTTGTGGTTAGGAGCATGTAGGAGTTTATTTTCTGATAACTGAAAGGAAGGTTTTGTAAAAGATATGCAGGGAATGGTTTAGAAGCAGCAATCTGTAGTTTTGAGGGCTTTGACAGTCCTTTCTGCCCTGTGTTCTTGGGCTATGGAAAATGAGCAAATGCTGCTTAAGAGGACAGGTGAAATTTACGTAAAACCAGATGGTAGAGAAAGTTCTAGAGTTATTGAGAACATAGTGGTTTATTACTGATATTGTTATTGTTATTATTATCATGATCATTACATTAGAATAAAGTTTCCAGAGATCATGGAGGCATGGAGTTCAACTGACCAGTAATAATCAGAGGGAAAATGTCACAAAGTAATATAAAGCCAAAAAAATAGAGAGAGGAGAAACTTCTAGTCAGGTAGAAAGCATGAAAGACAGAGAGAGAGCCACTGGCCTGAGCAGTGACTAAGAATGTCCAGAACTAGATAGGACTTTAGAACTGCGCAGTAGTTAATGGATGGTGTTAGCTGGGATCCTCCACTCTCAGAAACATCACTTTCACATTATGATTGTTATTGGATTTTAAAATTGTGCCTCTGTGTGTGGTAGATAATTCAACAGTGATAGCTGTTAAGACCCGTTTTCACTACTTATTAAAAATTCCGGCAGGAGGAATTTGATACTGCTGACATCAAGCTGTGACCACAAAGATTCAGGGCCTGGCAATGCTCTGAGTTGAGTGACAGACCTGGGAGGCTCTGATGACTGACAATCTCCAGGAAATAACATCAGCTTGAATATATCGGTTTCTAGCACGTGTGCTCAGGAAGTCTGTTGTACTTCCCTGAGCAAAGCTCTATAGATGAAAAGAATTATTTCATCTTAGCAAGCAGGCCCTGGCATTCTGTGGACCAGTCTAGGTGAAGGAGGAGCTGGATGGGGTGTTGTGACATTTGTGGGTTTCTAGGATGAGCGCTACATAAAACAGAAAACATTTGAATGAAAAAAAGAAAAGTGCAGTAACTCCTTACTTTTCCTGGACACACACTCTCATTGCATAATCTCCTGGTGCAGTAATGACATTGATGGTAATTTCTCAATTTTAATGCACAAAATTTTAGATCTGAACAAAAGGTACTATAGATGAATGACATAAGGTGAAAGCAGAATGAATTTAACTAGATATGTTACTAATCTAGGAAGCATCTAATTGAAAAAAAGAACATTACTGTTTAATCTGTAGGATAGAAGTTTTATTACCATTGAAAAGAATTCACAAAACTTGAAAGGTGATGCTTTTCCCTCAATAAAACCGATAAGAGTTATTTCACAGCTGAACTTCACTTTTCTTATGCTTGAATCACTAATAACACTTCTAACTAAAATTTACAATTAAAAGTCAAGTTTGGATAAATACAATATTTGAAAGCCTACTAATTTGGAAATGGCTTTGTTTCCAGACTTAACACAAAATAGTGTGACCTCTGACCTTTGGGCCGAGTACATACAAAACCTTATAAATACTGACTGTAGATCTATAAAGACCTACCTGTCATTAGATAACATTCACTGCTTGGTATAGAAAGTTTTCCTTTTTGTTTTAAAAGGTAATTTGCTTGCCATTTTTATTCTCTATTTGTAGTGACAATTATTAGGAAGACTTCCTGCTGTCGTTTTTTGTTTTTTTTTTTTTTAATCTGAATGTTCCTCTCATTTGTAGCTTGGTTGCAACAAAGGAAACAGACAGTGCACGGTCTCGAAGTACTCCAATGTCACCTTCTGACTTTCTGGATAAGTTAATGGGAAGGACGTCAGGATATGATGCAAGAATCAGACCTAACTTTAAAGGTAATTGTTCCACTTATTATTTTGTATGAAATGTGTTTTGAATATGCCTAAGCCAGATAAATTTTCAGATTGATTCCACCAAAAATTCTAATGCTTATTTCCAGTAATCTTTCAAGTCCTGTATTACTCAATGATATGTCTTAAGGAAAAAAAAAAGCTAGTCTCATGTTAATAACTCTTAGAATTTGTCTTCTTTGGACCAGTACTATTTGCTTGTCTTTCTTTGTTGTACTTATTGTCATGATGATTCATTTTAGAAAAAATTTATACAATTTCCTAAAATGAATATATATTCACTACATATATGAATATATAAATATTTTATTTTTATATTTTTGACAATTAATATATTTTCCTATAATATATTCCTAAAATGTATTTCTACTCACTGGAATGGAAGTTTCTTCAGAGATGGCAATAAACCATATTTTAATTACCCACAGCAAGACTCTCTATATTGTGGAGAATCAGTTACTGAATTTATGAACAGGGAAAAGAGTCTGAAAACTAAAAGCTACAGATAACACTTAAAAAATTATTCCATCTACCAAATATTTTGCCTAAATTTATAGAAAAGAGTATAATTGTCAATTCAGGATTTTTTTTTTTAATTCTACTGTTTAATATAGTGATAAGCAGCACATTTATACAGGATATATGTAGCTTATGTCCCACAATATGTCCTAGGTAAAAGATGAGAAAGCTACTTCCATGCCAATACTTATTTAATATATCTTGACTATTATTCTATTTCAATAAAGAAAATAATCCAAATGATAAGAATGCCTACCTCTTCCATGAGATTCAGTTAAGCTATTTTCATTCTTTAGGGTGAAAAGAAATACAGTGTAGTCTACAATAATTATTTTTTTCTTGAATTTGTTCTTATGGGAGGAAAAAAGAAATAAGAATTGCTTAGCAGTGGTTTAAGAATTATTTAGAGAGGACTGATAAATACTAAGAATGGGTAGCAGGAGAAAAAAATTAAGAGTAAAATTTTTGATAATTTATAAGTAAAAAATTATAAATTGCCTTAATTTCAAAATGATTCTGACATGTAGATTGCTTTTCTTGATTTCTTTTTAAGAATTTTGACCATATTTTAATTTTATTTTTATATTTTTTGACTATAAATATGTTTTTTAAGATTTATTAATTTATTTATTTTAGAAGAAGAGAGAGAGCATGAGTAGGCGGTGGGCAGAGAGAGGGAGAGAGAGAGAATCCTAAGCAGGCTCCACACTCAGTGTAGGGCTCACTCATGGTGGGGCTCCATCTCAAAACCCTGAGCTGAAATCAAGAGTCAGATGCTTAACTGACTGAGCCACCCAGGTGCTCTGACCATAAATATTTTTAACTGCACAAGAGGAAAACACTAAATGTAAGCTGTGAGAAATTAGTACAGCTTAAGAGATATCATATACAAATGAAATGAGATTTCAGCATTATGAAGATCTTCTACAAATTGAGGAAGAGCAGTATCCCTAACTTTAGGTTTAAAACTAACTTTGAAAGGATCTTGAAAAATATTCAGTTGTCATATTAGTAAACATAATCAGTCATTAGTGGATTCATTATGGTGATTCTATTCGGTGATTCAGAAGTACTACTTGGTTTTCACTGAAAACTAAAGGGGAAAATATATTCTATTTTTAAATATCTGTGAGCACTTAAAAAAAATCACATTAACAGACTCAATGGATATCTTAACAAAAATACAGATAAGTTGTTAACCACACAACAGCTGTCCCAGTGCCTTTGCTGCTCTCTTGGAAAGTTTACTTTTATTTTATTATTTCAATCATTTAACAGACAAAGGAAATTTTGAGCCATCTGAAATGTGATTAATATTACTATTTATGTGTGAGACCCGAAAAAAACTGAAAAGATCTCTTCTTGCTTAAAATAAGTACAGATTTTCTTTAAATAAACATACATTTCGAAAAACTAGCTGCTAACCAAAGCCAGTTTAAAAGTTAATAGACTTTTTTTTAATTGAGAATAGGAGAATCCATATTTACTTCCCAGTGTCCTTAAAGGAACAGAAAAGAAAGGGGAGAGGGTTTTCTCTCTCCTTTATGGTTTTTCAATATATCTTATACTCTGAATATGAGAAAAGCAAATGGATGCTCATTTGATTACCACAAATAATGTCATTTTTAAAAAACCAATACCTTAATGGATTAGTTCTTAGCTAACACTCTTGTTTTTACGACCTCTTGCTAAGAGTGAACTGTTGTCTCCAGGGAAGCTCACAACTTCCTCCCCAAATTAAGCATATTCAACACAGTTTCATTTTATTGAATAAAATCACATCATAATCCTTTGATGATCATTTCATTGCTTAATATTGAAATATAAATAAATTTAAGTATTTTTGAGGTACGGAGGCATTAACAAACTAAATCTAAGACATATCAGAAGATGATGGGACAGAGAGGAAGATTAGCCTTTCTATTGTCAGGTACCTTGGGACCCACCATGACTCTTAAAAAAATAAAGTTAATTGGGCAGAAGTATGATGAATGTGTTCTGGTAATGTGCAATATTCTACTAGACTTTTTTTTAATAAGCAAAAATAAGTAATTTTTTAAAAAGAATAGGAGTGGGAGGACACTTGCATGGCTCAGTGGGATAAGCCTCTGCCTTCTGCTCAGGCCATGATCTCAGGGTCCTGGGATTGAGCCCTGCATCTGGCTCTCTGCTCAGTGGGGAGCCTGCTTCCTCCTCTCTCTCTGCCTGCCTCTCTGCCTACTTGTGTTCTCTGTCTCTCTGTCAAATAAATAAATAAAATCTTAAAAAAAAAAAGAATAGGAGTGGAAATTGGCCAAAACAGGTGTAACAATATATTACAATAGCTTAATAGATTTAGTCCTCACATCTTCGCAGATTAAAATGTTAATAAAAACTAATAATAAACATAATTTACCTGGATAATTTCTTAGGCAATAGGCAAGTGTTTTCAAAATATAAAAACATTGGGAAAAACCTCTCGGGGTGTTTAAACTCGCAGGGATTTACAAATTTTGTAAGAGAAAAAACATAAAGTCTCAGTATTGACCTTCTCAGACAATTTACAGAGAATAAGTAAGAATGCTCAATCTCATTAGCAATCAGTGAAGTACAAATTATAATAATAATGTGATAGTATTTTCACCTCTCAAAATATCAAAATTTAAAAATAATATTAATTATTTCAGCTCAAATACATTATTATGAAATTATTTCTGGAATACTGATTTTAAATTTCTGATTGCTTTCTCAAATATATATATACATCAAAAGGGAAAATATATTGCAGGGCATAGTGGAGAACAACTATTAAAAAATATCAATTGGCTTTGTTAAAATGTTATTTTGATTTTGTTCTTTCATATACTGCTAACTTAACAAATCTAGATGTAGACATTTTTCTGTAACATAAATTATGATACTTGTTTGTATTTTTTGTCACATTTCTCTAAAACAACCTACACATTTAAAAAAATCTGACCTGTTTAAGTTTTTTTTTTTTTTTAAGATTTTATTTACTTATTTGAGAAAGAGAGCACAAGTGGGATGAAGGGCAGGGGGAGAAGCAGACTCCCCGCTGAGCAGGAAGCCCAATGCAGAACTTGATCCCAGGACTTTGGGGTCATGATCTGAGCCGGAGGCAGATGCTTAACCCACTGGGCAACCCAGGCACTCAAGATTAAATATTCTAAATAGGTTATTAAAATATACCATACAAAAGTAGAAATAAGTGATTCTCTTAAAACACTTTAAATTGGTGCCAAGCACAGATAGGACAGTCTCTTCATCAAAAATTATCTTAGTAATTAAATTAAATATAACTATTAGCTACTTATAAAAATAAATATTGAAAGAAATTAAAACATTTAAATATCCAACCTTACCAACATTTTATTTCTTCTTCACTAATTAATCAACTGTTCTCTTTCCCTCCAGAACGCTTGTAACTTGTCTTAAACTTCTATAAGAATCAATTTTCCCCAAAAGAACCTCTGTGACTTGAGGATAATTTGAGTATGAGAACAACTCCAAATCTCTGTTATATCGTAGTTCTGTTATCTATAATGATTTCTTGAACTAATATAAAGAATACACTTAATAACAACAACTGGGTTTAGAAATTATCTGAGAGGGCGCCTGGATGGCTCGGTGGATTAAGCGTCCTAGTCTTGATTTCCTCTCAGGTTATCATCTCAGGGTCATGGCATTGAGCCCTCCATTGGGATCCTCACTGAGAATGAAGCCTGCTTAAGGTTCTGTCTCCTTCTCCCTGTTCCCACCCCCCTCCATAAACAAACAAACAAACAAACAAACAATCTGAGAGTCTACTAAAAAGAGTTAGCAAGTAAATCTCCAACCTGTCACTAAACTTGTTAATCCTTCAACAGAGGATAGAGTTTTACACAAATCATTATTTCATAAAATTTGGTCTTAGCAGAAATGGTATGTATAGAAACCATTATCTCCACTTTGAAAGACAAAAATAATAGGCAGGCAACACTATTTCTTCCCTGCAGTCTGAAATCCTTTCTCTTTCGAACTCTTCCTATCTAGCAGAAAGTAGAAATGGAAGGGCAACGTGACAGAAAGCACCACACAACAGCCTGAATACACAGTCTGGAGAGGCAGTGCTCAACACACAACCTAACCATGTTATGCACTTGGAGTTCCAGATGATTGAAGGGAAGAACCCAAATCCTGTAACCAACAGTTTCTTGAATTTGTATTTACATCTGGCTCTTCATTTTGTTTTCAAGTTCACTTTCTTTCTTTTTTGGTCTAGTTTTATTTCTATCTCTCTACACACACAGAGATAGAAGAAAACAATTTCTCATTTTCAGAACAGGAGTAAGTTGATAGACACATTTTCTGAGCCCTGGTTATCTTTTTTTTTTTTTTTTTTTTAATTTCTAGACTTTCTAAAGAATGATTTTAGGTTTACAGAAAAATTGACCGGAAATTACCAAGAGTTCCCATATCTCCCCTCC